CTGTCAGCATATTGACTGCGGACGAAGAGCGCAAGCAGTCAAATGGAAGAACAAGCTTCTCTACCAGCATCAGCTGCGAGCCTTCCTGAATCGAGACGAGCATCACTGATCTCAGAACGATTCGCTGGCTGCGAACAAAGCAGAACCGCGCTTGGCCATGTCAGCAACGAAGAAGCCGTTCGACGGTTACAACTTTCCGGATGAGGTTGCGCATTTGCTGAAGGCATACCGGCATGCCTGAGCACTGTACTCCCCTGAGTGGAAGCCCCAAAAGAGCGTCCAACACACCAGGCTGTTTTACTCTACTCGGCTGGGAATTCAATTTCTTGGGTTATGCGCCAGTTCAGGGACAAGGGAGCCTGCAGACCCCACCGCACACACACGTACACATACCCCTGGGTTTTCCCATGAAGACGACGTCCATTGTGAGCTCGTGGTCCCTCTAAAAGTGGTACCGGATTTCACGAGGTATGCCATGTTTTTCAAGCCTGAGGCGAGAACCTTTGCTCCTTGCTGCCGGATGGCGACAGGCGCAAAAGCCGTGGACCTTCGCTGGTGTGGCTACAGCAACCAGGTACAAACTCACCATGTAAAAAGCATGACCTTTTCCACCAGAAAGGGAAGCCGAGCCTATTTTGTTTTGTCGGGGGGTGGGGGGGAGGGTCGGTGTGCGCGATGGTCGAAGAAGGCCTGCAATGAGGCGTGCATGAACCATAAATATGTCAGGTGTGGGAAAACAGCAGGCAGGGCGCTAGGCGTGGTTGTAGCGGGTTGCCCTTTTTAGGCCCCTTTTTTAAGTGCTCCAACTGATGCTCTCGGGAGGAGGAATCCAAATGGCACATGTAGGGGGTTCTAGTTTTTAACTTTCTGAGCTGCATTCTCCGGAATTTAAGCCCCGGATTAGTTTTTTTCCCACTATAAGCCCCCAAAAACAGACCTTGTGGACCTTGATCGGGGTGGGGGGGGGCTTTGATCCAATTTGGCATTACATCGACCAACACGAAACCTAGGGTCCCGTTTAGAGGAAAACTGTCTTCCAAGGACCCCTTTGTTTCCATGCGGGAGGGCAAACCAACTTGCTGATTTCAGTCAATTGGCGCACTGAGCAAGTCACCCAATGGGATACTTCAAATCTCCGGGTTCTCGACAGATCGCCTCCAGCTGGGTCCGAAATGGTCCCTTGCCACGGACCGACATTGGATGGGTCCGAAATGGTCCCGTACGTTTGAGGATGTCGACATGGACCCATGGATGGTCCCAACCCAAGCAACTTGCGTGCAGCCGGGCTGAGAAACCCTGGGGTCATGACTTTGAGCTTTTCTGGAGGTTATCAAAGTCAGAAGATGGGGTTGTTTCCCTTTCACTTGAAGTTGGGGGGTGTCGGCCAGAACCCGCAGGCTTTCCTTCTCAGTGTTCTTCAGCATCACCGAGAACGGGGAGCTGGACACCACCGAGCCGCCGGAGATGTGCAGGAGCGACCCCCCTGCCGCTGGCACGCGCGTCTGAGGCCGTTGCGGATGTTCCGTGTTGTTACAGTGAAACAAAAGTGGGGAGACAGCCACTCAAAACATCTGCTTTTGAGTGTTTCGTGGTTATTCGTGGCTATTTTATTTGTTGCTTGTGTTCTTCATTTGCTTGATGTGACATCAACGCAGTAACTTGGGTGCCATTTGCACGGCGTATCAGTCAACAAAGTATCGGATGGGGCTCTTAGCTTTTTGTTGAAAATCCAGGGCGGCTCCCTAGGTTTTGGTGATTTCCAAGTTCCACGTGGATTCGCGCCGCGATCCGTAATCCCGCCAGGGCAGTGATCCGCACGAGGGCGAAGCTCAGCTACGACGTCGCCGGGGACTCAGAAAGCGGCAGCTGATTCGTCCTTGGTCGTCCAACAAGTTAAGGGTCTTGGAGACCCTTCCATCGGGGTAGCTGGGATCCACTGGAGAAATATTGATTTATTGACTGCCAAAGGCCTCTGCTTGGCTAAGGTCGACAGCTTACTTGCAGGCTCGACGCCGGACACCGCAGATGGATTTCGGGTATGATGGGTGGTTACAGGGTGATTCTCCCTCTCTCTCTCGCTCGCTCGCTCACTCCCTCTCTCTCTCTCTCTCTCTCTCGCTCTCTCTCTCTCTCTCTCTCTCTCTCTCTCCCCACCCTTTGTTGCGTGTTAGCTTACGCTGCCCGAATGCAAGTGACGTGTTGATGCTTTTGAAGGGAATTTGCTTAAATCCAGGTAAGCTTGAGAGTGCTGAGTGACCCTATGGTTCTTATGATATGCGTTGAAGCTTTTTGATACGGAGAAGCATGAGGGCCCTCACGCCTCCACAGCGGTCCTCACCATTCGCCTTATGCCAGGCGAAGTGCACGAGTCCTGTCTGGGCCTAAGCCTTTCGGGCGCGGAAGAGGCGTTGAGGGTAGCCTTCTCCGGTGGCTTAGGGTGGTTGAAGAACAGACCACCTTCTCAAAGGGGGTTCCATATCCCAATTTGGACACAAAGTCATTTCCAGCATCACGCTCCAAGTCATCAATCACAAGGACACGTGTTGTGGGGTTTTGAAACGGCAAGGGAAACCTTCCCCATGGTCTCGGGTGTTATTCAAGGGTCCTGGAAATCAATAACTGACCCAAGCGTGACGCGAACAATCAAGTCCAAACATGGACTGAGACTTTTGGGAGGTTGTTTGGCTTCCAAAGAAGTCTGAACTCTCTGGCGAGCGGGGAGCCTTCATCCTAGTTTGCAAGGGTTCAAAGGTGAGTTTGATCAAGGCAAAGGGCAGCCAAGAGTGCTGTCCACTTTTTCTTGACTGAACAACATGTAGTTGACATGTTGGTTGTTTTTGTTTGGTGCTGCTTTGGCAAAATCCCAAGGACAGTGAGACAATCCCAAGGAACAACAGGGAGGACAATGTACCCAAAAGGCATAGACAACCTAACATACGTGGCCATGATCAAACCTTGAAACAGTTGCGGCCCCACCCATTTGGAGTGGCCTTCGGGACTTGGTGCTTTCAAAAAGGTGGGCCCTCTCTATTCCACGGGCCTCAACAACGTCAGCAAGTCGACAAGCTCTGCACCTTCCGAACCCTTGGTCGAAGGGCAACTGATCAGCTGAAACTTGAAGGGCAAGGCTGAGTTTCAATGCAGACGGTGTTGTCAGGCTCTGGTTGTTTTGACATGAAATCGGGCTCTGGTTGTTTTGACATGAAATCGGGGTGTCAACCCTGCGCCATTGTGTGAAACACAGAAACTCAGCCATGTGGTTTTCTGAGATCCCTGAACCAAGCTATTGATCAGGTAGCCCTTAATTTGTTAGTTTGCGGTTGGGACTGGAATTGAACCCCTGGTTCTTCTAGACTAGGTTCCCCAGTAGTGCCCTTTTGGAGGATTCCCTTACTAAAATAGACTACTGAAAAAAGCATACCTTATTCTAACCTCTCTGCTGAAGGGACCTAGTAGAGGGTCAAAGTTGACCCCAACACACCATCAGAGCACCGGACCCGAACCACCAATTTGTGCCCACCAGGTTTGTCTTGCTGAGGCGCCGGCCTCCCCCCAGAGCTCCTGCGGGATGTGCGGACGCTGGCAGCGGTTACGGCCGCCTGGGGCCCCATCCGAGCAGGAGATGCAACGGATCAAGGGTTCACCCTTGGATGTCCCTGAGAGAACCACGGGACCCCTCCATTTGCTTAAAACCGCCGTTTTATGTTCTCCTGTTGGTTTTGAAGGGAATCTATCACTACTGGAAATATAGTCTATTTTTTGCAGTGGGCTGAAGCAAATGGAAGGACCCCTTAATGAGAACCCCGGATCTATAAACCCCACTTTCAGAGCGCAGGTCAACATCGATCAGAGAAGCAAAGATGTTCTTGTGAAGCAGCGGTGCCTTTGCTTTGAACAATGAGCGTTTTCAGGATGTCTCAGACTAATGTGGCCTATCTATTTTGCGTGAGACGTAGGGCAAGTGAGTTGGACTGGGGGTGCGTATTGTTCGCACAAGTGGACCGCTCGCTCCACATGGTGGATTCACATTTTTTATCGCCTTGTTGCAGCCACTGAGTTTGATTGGTGTGGCCAATTTGGGATTCGGTCAGCATATCGACGTAAAGCACTCGGAAACCGCACATTTTGAGCATGGGGCAAGTCAGGAATGCTTCTGAGGCTCCAGGAAGCTAAGGACCCTTTGGGAGAGAATGTGGATGGACGAAATCCTGCACCACCTAAGAGGGCCCTGGAGGGATGATTCCCCTGTAAAGACCAACAAACAATGGTTTCCCATGGTTTCCAAGTGGTGCGAAATGGATTTTGTCCATCCACAGTATGTTGATGACCTCTTTAAACCGGCACCCCTTGTGGTTGCAAGCCTTTGCAGCACGCTGCTCCAAGGCTAGCCAAGCCAGACATTCACGCGCTTGGAGTTGACGGGGTGTTTGCCCAACCCCAAAACCCGTAGAAATGGCTCCCAGGTGTACAGTAGGCCTAAATATTGCAAGCTTGGATGTGGTTCGCTTGCCACCTCATAGGAATCCAGCGCATCTCTTGAAAGAGGGTTGTTCTGTTGCACAATTCGACCCTCAACAAATGGTGTCCGTCCAGTGGCAATATTTAGAGATCGCTCCCCCATGTTGAGGAAATCCACTGTATAATTTTTGAAGGAACGTCTGTTCAGCTTGGTTTAAAGGGACGCTAACTGGAACACTCTGAAATTTTAAGTTTTGACACAGGACCCCTCAATGCTCAAACAAACTTTTGTTGCCATTTTGGAAATGGCCCGTTTGACGGCAATGGGCCTGGTTCCCGGGCCTGGTACTCGCTTCATGCTGAATTTTACTAAGGGATGTGTTCATTTATGCCCACCACTTATTATATTCTGACACATCCCTACCCATTTGTGTGGCTCGCCTTTGACGCACGGCATTGTGAGGTGCTCAACTCTTAAAAAGTCAGCCATAAGCCCAAGGGCCGTCAAGGTGCGCCGGCGCCTGCGCAGCGAGCACGGCGCCATGGTGCTGGAGAGGCGCTCCTCGAACCGCGCTCCTTGAACCGCGCACCGAGTCGTCCTGCGTTGGTAGGCACGAAAAAACACGCACTGCGGCGTTCCGTGGCACCAAGCTGTCGTCTAACCTTTTCGGGTTGGCTTCCCAATGGTCTTCCTCAGGTTGTCTAAACATCTTGAAAGCATCATTGAAACTAGGGCTGGAACTAGGGTTGGAGCAATTGTTCAAACTACTGATCCCTGGTGGTGACCTTGTCGATTTTGTACTTGTTAGATATCATTTTATTCACATCAACTAGTTGTTAAACTGATTTACACCATGGGTCAAATCAAAGCTTTGCGCAACCCGGGATTGAGCCCATGAATTTGAATAGGGGCTCAACAGTCAGGCACTGGGTGGCTGTTGTTTCCTTTTTGACCGAGAGGGTGGCGTTGATTGTAGCATGGCGCCGGTTGGAGCTTGCCGTGATTTTGCAGAGTTTTGGATTGCTTCTTTGGTTCGGTTCATTGTGAGTTGGGGGCGGGGGCTGCAAAGAACAACGGTTCTGGTGGGGAAGGATATGCTTCGCCGGAAGGGATCCACAAAGAGGACAAGAACAGCTCTTTCCATGGCAGAGCTTGAGGTGGACAATCACGCATTCTCCAGGGATTCTCCGGGGATTTGCAGGAGGCAAGATATTTTCTGAAATCTCCTTCCTGCACCTTCATTTGAACACTTATTTTTTTTCGACGTGGTTTGTCACACTTTTCTGGCGGACTGAACAAATAGGGGCCGTTTGGGCCGAGTTGGAAAGCAAGTGCCCGATTCGATGGAAAAGGGTCGTGGCTATCCTTGCAGGCTGTTGTTTTGATGGACGGCCCAACTGAGCTCGTTCTGTGTGATCCTGCAATTCTAGATTTGACCACTTTTTGAGATTTGCGTCCGTTTTCGGTTTTTTGCGCCCGTTTTGCGGATTTGTGCGCCCGATTTGCGGCATTTTTGGGGCGCAATTTTGCGCCAAAAAAGGCAAATGGTCAGACCAAAGGCCACTTCTTGCTTCCAATTCCTGTCCCTGAGCTGGCTCCACTTCTTAACGGCACGAAATTCAGGATTTGCAACAAAGCTAGGCGGTGCCTAGAGCCGCAGGCTCAGATACCCCGAAAATGATTCACAGGAAACGCACTGTTCTTACAAAATGCGTTCGTTTTTTCAGGCCACTTCCAGCAAAAGTAGTCAATGTCCCAATTGAACAAAAATAAGTGACCGCTTGACACTGCAGGTTTGATATTTCATTAGATGTTTTAGGTTCGCAAGGTGACTTTTGAGGGCACAGCTGAGGTCGATTTCCTGAGGCGGGCTTTCCATGAAACATGTTGGGTGACCCACAGTAGGTTGCACCCAATGGATACTGCCTTCTCTTTTAAACAGGGTTCCTGCGTACCCAGAGCTCGAAGGCTGACTCCCCGCTCTGTTCAACCCGTTTTGTGAGGATCCCTGAGAAAGGGTAACGCGTTTGACCGATTCCTCTTGTCATGCCAATCTTGTCCCATGCTGTATAGAAGCTGAAGAACCCAAATCGAGGGTTCTTTCTTCTCATGGCAGTCCCCCAAGTGGAGTTGACCCTTTTCAAGGTAGACTCACCTGGGTGATGCTCCTTTTACAACAGGGTCAACGCGGTAGGTGAGCCAAACAAAGTGAACTTGGACGGACCCCCTTTCAGGCAGCCTTCCACTCCCTGCAAAAGCTTCAACATAGCTCTGGTTGAATTCCATCTTCTTGACCTTTGGGTGCAAGGGATATGCCTAACACAGGCCTGTAGATGCCCCGTGGCCTGGGTGAATCCCACCACGATTTTGCTGACGAACATCTAAGCAAGCATTTGGGCGAGACTGAAGACGAGCGCCACCGAACCGAACGGAAGGAGTAGCACCTCTTTTCAGCTGGACGAGCATGGCCGTGTTGTTGGCATGGTCGGGATACCCAGATGCTTTCCAGTTTATTCAGCTACCATTGCCAGAACCTGGCCTTTTGACTGTTTGCCTGTTAGATTTGCCCTTCAACCAGCAAAGGGTCAACGTGATTTGCCTCAGCGAACAGATGTTTGTGCAAGGTAGTTCTTTCGAGATGCTTTGTCTTGCTCTTGGCTTTGATGTATCGCAATCCAGAAGGGGGATTTGAGGGAGACTTATTTTTTTTCTTGCGTGTGTAATTGCAATATGTACACACAACATGAGTTTGCGTATTAGTATGTGTAATGTGCGTCCACGTTAACACCTACATCTAGATGTCATTGCCTTGGCGTGAACCCATGCCTTGTTGTAGCGGGATTTTCCGCCTTCAATTCAGGGGAGACCTGAAGCGCACTTATGCATGTTTAATGGCGGTGGCAGTCCCACATGGTATATGTTGGTTTCCCGTTGAGGCAACCTAACAGATTGGGCACACTCATTTATCCAAAGGTACACTCCGCATTACAAACACACTGGGCAGTCTGATCATTTGAGTTGTTTGGCCCATTTCTTGCCAGAAGGATACCTGACATGAGGGGATGTGCAGCGAGAGTTTGTGACCGGCCCCTTCATTGCAACGGCTTTGCCATGCGGACAAGGCCCCAGCAGAAGCAAATGTGTTCATGTTCGGGGAAAGCTGGCAGTTTGTCTTTGTGCGATTTAGTTAAGGAATCAAGTAGTCAGGGGGAATGGGAATTCCACTTTATCACAGAAAGGCTAACATAGAAGTTGCCAGGTGCCCCCTTCGCAAAGGAAAGTCCTTGCAAGGAGTCCTGGGAGAATAGCCAGGGGTTGTCAAACTTTTGGCCCGGATCTTGTTTGGCTTCCATTTGCTGAATGTGATCTCTTTTTTTCTCCCGCGAGAAGTCTTGCGGCTCCGCACTCGCGAGCTGAATGGGAAGAAAGTCCGGGGATCCTACTTGGACAAAGTATGCCGATTGCATTCAGGGGTAAAACGCGCTCATGTATGATGAAGGTCCTTGACTTGGGGATTCCTTGTTCCCTACCTGCGAATCAGAGATCTGAACGGTTAAGATCTCTGACTGATTTGCAGGTAGGGCACGCCAGACATTTTGCATCACAATGGAAACAGCTCTCTAGCTGTTGGAATAGGGAAAATGAAGGAAGCAACGCCTCAAGGCCCGGGAGTCCTCGTCTTCTGCGACTTGGCAAATTTCAGCTGCGTCAAGTTCAAACGAGCAGCCAACAAGAACTGGCTTCGTAATTTTAGCCGGGGGGTTCATGGGGGATGGTACTTCCTGCACAAACCTGCGTAACCATGTTGGTGCTCCTTTGTTTGGGTGCTGCTCAGTTGCAATCAGGCGTGTGCCGGACCTTTTGTTCTTTGTTTTGGTTTTGGGGTATAATTGCCCTTGAACAAGTTTAGCGACCAAACTAGTTTGACTTATTTTCCGCAGCAAACGACCGAGCAAGAGGGAGAAGAAGGTAGACGGGTTGAAGGGAGGTTATTTTTCCCTCAAGTGATTTCTCTTTTGGACCCTGAAATGTGGCAAGCGGCTCCAGACCAGCAGCAGCAGTATGTGCCCAAAGGGCAGCGCCCATGTTGCTTCACTTAGTACAAGTAATTGAACACTTGCCGTTTACAATTCAACCCCGACTCTCCCCTTCCGGAAGTTTCGTGCGAGGTGCAATAAAGAATCGGGACCAGGGCTGCATAGTTGGGATCCAAGTTCACGTGCTTTCTTCCGCAAATCGGCTCAGCTGCCATTCGCAACTGGAGATACCTAAACATGGAGCCAAAGCGAATTTACATGACCCGTTTGTTTCTGCCACTCCTCTTGCACATCTCCATTGGGGGGATTCAGGGAAGTGCATTTGAACATGCTTCTTACGTGAATGTGCTGGGTCGTCGCAAGAATATCTTGGCAGAGGTTTTGTTTGCCCCTTTTTTGTTGGTCACTCAGTGAGCGTGAGAGTCACGCTTGCGTTTTGCTGGGCCCAGTTGCCGAGTGGTGCCTCAGTGGTGCCTGTTTCTCCTTTTTGGTGGGACGGGTTCCCCTTCAAAGTCAACCAACCCCCAAAAAACGGATGCCCCTTTTGCCCATGGAAATCCACTGGGCATCTGAGTGGGCGGAACGTCGCGGGAGCTTCATGGGAATGCGGCAATCCACCAATCCGCCGCCGAAACGCTGAGACCTCCCATCACCTCGTGGAGGAGCTCATGGTGCTGGCGCCAAAGCCTGAGCTTTGCGCCTGCGGCGAAGGGAAATGAATCCCACCTAATTACATGTGCAAAAGGTGCCCAAAAACATCACATCCTTTTTTGGGGAGGGGACATGTCCACAGGGTGCCCTGCAAACAAATCACACTTTTTGTTTGGGGGAGGGGGTTGGGGGAGGTCCAATATTGGCTTTCCGTCATTTGCTTTTGGAGTTTGTTTTTGTGTTTACTGCCAAGATGCTGTACAGGGTTTGGGCCTGTGAGTTGCTTTTTGGCCCTCTTGTTCGCAACAAAAACAAAAGCTGACTTCAAAAGTGGTTCTACGCTCCGCGGCCTGAGTGCTTGGTTCAAAGCACCCGGTGACTTAACCGGAATTGGACAAGTGTCTTGATGCGAGGCCACGTGTATTCTGCTTTTGGCCAAGGAACCACGTGGTGGCGGAGCGCCTGGTCGAAGGTGCTGCAACAACCGGCAAGGCGAGGGCAAGCGAGCGACTACGTCCCTCCTTCCTTTGTCCAGCTTCCCCATTTGCCAAGTCTTGGGAATCCGCCGGAAGGATGGAAGTTTCGGCCATCCCCCGGTTCGTGGGTACGTTTCTTCGGCGCCGGCGCCCGCCGCGCCAACACCTTCCCAACTCACAACTTCCCGAGTTGCCGATTTCAAATTGTTGGGAAGGATCATTCTGGCGGCCAGCAAACCCATCTAGGAAGAGAGTGAAGTTCAAACCCGGGAGTACCAACAAAGACTCAGTGACATCCTCCTGCGCCGTCGATGGCAGAGGCCTCGAGCGAGGTGCCAAGGTGTTGTCAACTTCGAAAGCCGAAGGACCATATGACGGGTTTGTATCAAGGGGCAACCCCCAAGACGGGCTGTGTTTCCTTTAGGTTTCCCTTTCAAACCACCCCAAAAAGGGGTACATGTTTTAGCGGGTTGGGAGCTTGCCAAGGAAGGTGTGGCTTTTGTGAGACTTCCAATTCGGTTGAGGTACAAAGGGACACCAGAAGGAACGTGGCCATTTTACAAGCTCCCCTGCTTTTTGCATCCGGGGTTGTCTCAAGAGGACATCCAAAAAATATGGTTTCCTTTTGGTTGCCCTTTCAACCCCCAAAAAGGAGGCTGTCAAGAACCATCGATCCCCAAGTGGTTGCCCCTAAACCCGGTCCCAGCGACGAGGCCGCTGGAGAGGCCTCGGTGCCGCGGGCGCTCTTGCGGTGTCACCCGGACACCTTGCCCGAGGCGACTCGGGGACGCTCGTGCAGACCCGCGGGTGGCTTCCTCTTGTTTATGGTTTTCTCCGTTTTTGGTGGGGTGGGACCTCTGAACCAAAAGAATGGCCTTGGGTGGCCCTTTTCCCACACTGGGAGGGCTCTCTTGTGGCCATAGCTCCAACTCCCAGTGCCAAGAATGCTCAAGTTGACTTCCCAGGCCTTGGTATGTGGCAAAAGGCAATGTTGTTTGTCACCCCTCCCGCCAAAAAATGAAGCACTGCAATCAAAACAGAGAACTGAACACCCGTGCAGACCACTTGAGTTGACATTGAGTCATGAAATAGATTAGATGGCTGCGATCTGAAAGCGTGCATGGGCAGCTTCCAGAGATAGCCTCTTGAAATCAGGCTCACAAACACCTGCCCAGCGCCCAACTGCCCACCGGTCACCAATCGTGACTGAGAAGCCTACCTCAGTCTATCCCAACCATCATGGCACTCTTAGATTGTGGTCTATATTTACTGAACCTTACTTACACCATTGCAAATTGATGTCACTGTTTCAAACACGTCCCTTTGGGAAAAAAGAAGAAACAAAAAGAAAACAATGCGTATCAATGGGGTCCTTTTGATTTCCAGAGGCGGGATTTGTTAGCGTATTCCGCAAGACCTGGACCACGCGATGTGGGATGGTGAGACACTGGGGTCTGAGACAAGCTGTTCTCACACAGTAGTTGTTGCGGGCATTCTTCATGCACTCACCAATTTCTACATACCGCAGACTTTGCTAGCCGTTGTAACATGCTGTTTCTTTTTCTGGTCTCCTTTGTCGTTTCTTTCAATCAGCAATCAGCGGTAATTTGCCTGTAACTGTTTGCAAGGGGTTCAAGTCTGGCCTAGTACGGAGTAAGTAGTAGGCTGTGCCACAAGGGTTTTCTATTTAAGACTAGCGATTGGAGCATAAGAGTCACAGACCGCATGATTGGTAGTCTACTGCTGGTTTGGGGAGGACGTGGGACAACAAACATGTCCCAAACTAGGAGCACACCGCACCACGCAATTCTCCCATGGCCTGAAGGGAAAGTGCCAAGTTTTTTCCGTTGCTCTAAAGGTTGTCCCCTACACGTGTAGGTTTACGCTTGGATGTAGGCGTGCCTTTTCCACAAAAATTGGACTAGGCAAAAGGACTCTGTTTGGTCTGAATCGACTGCTCCCTGGACTAGGAACAGCTTCTGGGACTTTGGAGTCGCCGGTGGACATGAGCAACTCACAAACAACCCTAGAAGCCTGTTCGTAGCGTGAGGACGACATGAAGGGCCCCCCTTGGGCAACAAATCATTTTGTTGGGGGTGAACCCATGGAAAGGGTGTTTGTTTTTGCCTAGCCCTGGCACAGGGATGACCCTGACGGTTGGTTGGTTGGTTGGTTGCTTGCTTGCTTGCTTGCTTGCTTGCTTGCTTGCTTGCTTGCTTGCTTGCTTGCTTGCTTGCTTGCTTGCTTGCTTGGTTGCTTGGTTGCTTGGTTGCTTGGTTGCTTGGTTGCTTGGTTGCTTGGTTGCTTGGTTGCTTGCTTGCTTGCTTGGTTGGTTGGTTGGTTGGTTGCTTGGTTGGTTGGTTGGTTGGCGCCTCGGTAGGACGAAGGTTTGGGATGGGTTCAGGGTAGGTTTAGGGTAGATTTGGGGTAGTCTGTTTAGGGTAGGTTCAGGCCCGGCATCGTTTTAACATCCTCAGCATCATTTTCAACATCCTCAGCATGACCAGGCTTTGCTTTAGGTTGGGTTTAGGGTGGTTCCATATTGGCTCGGGCTTGGCTCCGGGTGGGTTCCAGGCCTATTGGGAGCAAATTTGGGGGGTGGCTGTGCTTGAGGCAGATGGTTTAGTGCTGGTTTCTGGTGGGGCTTCTTGGGGTTGGTTTCGGGTGGGTTTAGGGCTGGTTTAGGGTGGGTTTAAAATCGGCTTCGGCCATGGTTTTACCCAACCTGTGTTTGTTGAACCCAACCATGGCCGAAGCCGATTTTAAACCCACCCTAAACCAGCCCTAAACCCACCCGAGACCAACCCCAAGAAGCCCCACCAGAAACTAGCACAAAACCATCTGCCTCAAGCACAGCCACCCCCCAAATTTGCTCTCAATAGGCCTCGAACCCACCCGGAAAGCCCGAGCCAATATGGAACCCACCCTAAACCCAACCTAAAGCAAAGCCTGGTGATGCTGAGGATGTTGAAAATGATGCTGAGGATGTCAAAATGATCTCAGCCTGAACCCATCAGCGGTTTTGCGTTCTGGCAGCTGCCTGTCAATCAGGCTAGTAGACAAATCAGGCTACCATGCGCCCATGCCTAGTTGGCACGAAGGAGTGCTGCGGATATGCCCTTTTGTTCAGATTGTAAGGAGAAACCAAAGGGAATGCAGCCTTTTGGCCGCTATTTGCAGACTGACAATCCTGGGACAACCAGCACTCAATGGGCAAACAAGCATTCTCAGCTACTTGCTAGGTATTCCAGCGAACAACTGCCGTCGCTTCTCATTTCATGCTGCTCGAGTGGCCGGGGGGGTATGCCCCAAGCTTATACCCATGGTGGTTGAACAAGGGCAACAATGGGCTTAGCATGATGGGCTAAAGAATCATAATTTAAAGTTGAATTGGGTGCTTGAAGTCCGGATTGGGTCATGACCATAAGGTAACACTGTGTGATTATATAGACCGTACAATGTATCAAGTCTACCTTGGCCAAAACGGCTTTGACAAGACTGAGCGTCAGGTGAAGAAGGCTCTCTTGGAGGTTCTTCCAGAGGAGAACTGCACGAGACACGCTCGCTGACAGGGATCCTGTTGAGCCCCCTTTTCAAGGCCGGTTCTTGATGGATCCTGGAGGCCCCGAGTTTGAGAAATGCTGGTGGTCTGAAGGGAGCCAAGGAGCCGGGGGTATGCAATTGTGCCTTTAAAGAGACAAGGAGCTGCAATAGAAACTTTCCTCCAACACTTTTTTTTGGTAAAAGGGACCCACTCAGATAGCAGCACAGACAGGACAATTTGCCTTAGCAACCGATTGTGGCTCGCTCGGCGACATTTAAGATGTCAACTCGTGGAGGTGAATGAGTCTCTAAGGGGAACACCCAAAGTCGTTGACGATTTCCCTTTGGTTTCCTCTTGAATCGACCACTCCAGAACAACCATTTCTATTTTAGAGCAGAATATATACATGTATATACATGTCTATATCTATGAAGCAGAATCTGAAGGTATCATTTTCTGCCAGAGTTGGGCCCAGTTAGACCCAATAGCTTTCAGGAGCTGAAGCATAGTGCACCCATGGACGAGCCCCTGCCTGCGCTGCTGCAGTGGAGCCTCGGAAGCAGGGGAAAAGCGGGGCGCTACGCGAAGTCTCCAAACGGGTTCTGCACAGGTTATATCCGTTTTAACCCACTTGAGCCACAATCAAAACCCGAGTAGATGAAGGTTAGTAAGGGGCAGTGCCAGCCAGAAGTAGGTGCGGCCGCCTTCTTAATTCTTTACATGGCCCCGGGTAGACCATTTTGACACCGGGTTTTGATTGTGACTCACTTGGATTGTTTAACGGTTCTGCACATGGGTTCTCCAAACGGTTTTGCGAATCAACAAATGGATTCTCCAGATGGGCTTTCACCAGGGTTCCATTTGTTGCTTGAGGGCTAAAGCTGTGGGGTTCTTTTTCTGGGGAGATCAACCATCCCTGGGAAGTTCGGAACCCTGGTTAAAACGAGGATTACCCTAAAGGAGCACCGGGTTTATGCCTTCCTTGGGGGGCGTCAAATTGGGAACCCTGAGCCTGTTGTGTTCAATCAGGGGATTCCTTATTCTCAGATTGTTGATAGTATAGTACGTTGTTTCCCTTCAAGACTGCCTTTGCAGGGATCCCACAAAGGGTCAACAAGAAGGTTGAACACGCGATTCATCCAGCACAATTTACAAGTCAGCAAACATGAATACGCTGAATCATAGTGATTAGTTTGCAGTTACAGCGGATGGTTGAAATCAACACCGCTGCTTGGCGTGGAAACTTTAGCAGACGCTTGTTGCAGAATCACAATTTCTGCAGCCCACGCATATCTGCCTTTCCAGCTTTGCTTAGGGAAGCCAAAGGGGGAAAAATCGCAAATTGGGATCGAGGAAGTTTTGAATTGTTCGGCAAAGTCCTTGAGCTAAATTCCAAGGGCTTCAACGGTTGGTGGGCAAGTCAGTGATAAGTTCTCCCGTTCCTTCGCTGCATTTCTTATTTGTTCATCCGCTTCCGTTTCTGATGACAGAGAAGACTTCCGCTTTCCCTTTCCGTTCCTTTCGTAGCTATATGTGAGCCATGATGAAGCGCAAGAAACAGAAGCGAGAATGAATGAGACATGCGAGCGCATGGGACGGACAGATGCGAATCTTTCATCCGTGCTCTCTCTCTCTCTCTCTCTCTCTCTCTCTCTCTTTCGTCTTTCGCTTTCTCTCTCTTCATCACTTTCAAGGTTGTTCATTGAGGTTTAAGGAATCAGCTGTCATCATATCCTAAAGGTAGCCTGTGAAGAGGAAAGAGATGGGATAAGCAGTAGCTATGAACCACTGGGAAGCAGAACGGTATAAACATGATGTGATTCAACAACCCTTCAGGGGCCGCCAAGCTTTGACACACAGTATCGGCGTGTTTGTTCTGAGGACCCCTTATTTCTTTTTGAAGGGACGATTAACCAGTAGGACCATTGAGAGCTTCCCCTGCACGATCAAAGGCCTCTGCGCAGGGTGGGTTTGGGGGGTAGGGGTTGGGTGGGCGGGCGGGCGGTGGGTGTGTGTTGGTTGGGTGGATCGTTGACCGGACTGGGTTGGGTTTGTGTTGGTGCGTGGGTGACGTTGTTGCTCCGGCGTTGTTTTTCACGTGGGTAGATTGATATCCAAAGTGTGTGCCCCAAGGTGTAGCGCAAGGCTTCCGCCAGTCACCTACGAGGAGCTGGGGGAACACGGCGTTCGCCAGAGAGACAACACGCCACCCGCCGATCAGCAGGGTCTTAAGAAAGGAGGTTTTTTGCCGAACTCCCGTCCTAAGCAGGCTCCTTGTGGACCATGCCTGAGGGGCCTTTGGCCCCCCTTCCTGGATGAGTGTTGGTCACGGAACTAGGTTGCACAAATCGGGGGGCCGAGAACACACGGCCGGATTGTTTGAGCCGAACATGTTTTATTTTTGCGCGGTGTTGTTTTTGTGTGTTGGACCTCGAACTACGCCCGCGAGTGAGGAGTATCCATGCAGCCTCCTTGGACTTGACACTGTGTTTATGAAAGATACAGTCTGTTGGGTTGTTTTGAAGGGTGTTCGGGAGAGAAGGCAGACAGGATGTGTCAAAAGGGGGCCCTGCAAATTTGTACTCGGGTCCATGTCGCCTTTGCAATGTGCTGGTAGCACGAGGTAAAGTTGGTTTAGCCCTATCATAGGTAACCAACGCAACATCTCCCTAAGAACCAAATGGTAGCCTACTATGTTAGGGGGGTAAGTGGGGGTGCACTGGGTGTAGCAATTCATATCGAAGCCTTTACACATTTGTTTGCTGGGCGGTTGTCATCATGAGGGTATTCCACATGGGTCCGCAGCGTCGGTGTTGATGTGCTCTGGCAAGTAATTTGAGGCCCACCACTCGGTCATTTCCGAGCTCCGCGTAGCGGCAATCTAAGGGGAACTATCCAACCCAGTGGTGCCGGTTGGTTTTGGATAGGGCACCCTCTTCAGGTTGGCTTTACGGGAAACCAAAAGGAACGCCTCCATTTTTGGGGTCGGCGTCTTTCTTCTTTGACACATACCCAGACACTGCTACTGTAGCTATGTTGGGGTGGCTTCTCAATCACGTCGACGCTGAGCCTTCTAGAGGGTTGAAAACAGGTATGCGTTTCAGGCTATCGAGTTTGCTGTGCCTTGTCAGAGAGAGGTTCCCCCCTTTCTGAAGGGTTGACAAAATAGCAAGACCCGTTGTGGGTGCCGACACCATGGAGGGCAGACAATATCAGATGGCCCTTATGTCTAATGTGTCTTTGTGAATGCTTCGCGCCTGCCGTTGGGCTGACAGCCACCGCAAGACGTCTGATTGTGGATTCTGGATGTTATATCATTACACGTATAAGTTTGTAAGGCTTCCTCCAATCCCACAGCTGAACCTGCCCTCAAGGTTAGGAGGGATGCTGTGCGGAATGCCGGGGGATATTTCCGAGACCAGTCTCAGCATAGGTCTTGGCAAATACAAAACGAGCTCACCTGGGGGTTAAACGAGCTCATCCAAGATGAAGGTCCCTTGCCGTTTACTTGCAGATGCCTTGTGTCGGTTTGTGAATTGTAGTAACGGATGGATGATGTCAATCCTTTTGTCAATTGCGAGCCCGCTTGTGAATAAATAAGAAGCTACGCAGCCCATGATATGGGTCCTGGCTTTGTTCCCGCCACAAGGCAGATGGACGCAGCCGGGCAGACTGTTAGGCAACTCTAAATCCAGGATTTGGTTCCCTTTGTGCTACCCAACAAAAAAGTTAAAGAAGATTCGAGTGGCCGGCCCTCCATTGTGAAGATCCATGTATTAGCACCCCTCGGACATCACCCAGCCAAGCACGCCGAACCTCACATCTTTGAATTGACTGAATTTGCAGAAAGTGAGCCTAGAGAGGCCTGGGTCTCACTCTGCCTTATGACCATGAATTCCACTAGGGCATTTGACAATGCTTAGCGGACATAAACCCCCAAGTGCATGATGTCCATCCAGTCCTTTCAAGCAGCACGAACGTGTGCTTCCTGGCCGCGAGCTTTGCACCGCGTCAGGCGGTGTGTGACAAGATCTTGAAAGGCTTCAAAGAAGCACAGTACATGGCCCGGGACCCGAAGGGTGCTTTTTTGGTTGCTCTTCAAGGGCTATTGGTGTTTCTCAAAAAGATGAACTCCCCTCTTTTATTGTTCTCGGGGAATCGAATTTGTTTGAGGAACACGCATATAGGTGTATGTTGAACACCTGTTCTTGGCCCAGTGAGTTTCCGCAGGTCATGGACGACTTGTTAGCTTTTTGGAAAATACCCCCTAGTAAACGTGAAACCTAAAGAGAGATTCCCTTTGAACTTCCAACTTGATGGGTTTTGGCTTCCTAACCGTGAATCTGCAGGGTGGAAAGGCAAGCTTCCCCCGCCACGCACTAGCAAATGTGGTCACTGTTGGCAGTTCGACAACCCAGTCTTGGGTCGAAAGAGAGTGCCATCTAATCAATCAAGTTGGTTGCCAAGATTGAACAACCAATAAAGAGCTTCAGTCTGCTTGTACTGACCTCGCAAGAGAGCAAGTCCAGTTCGGGCCCTATCATGAAGGTCCCTTCCTTGGGGATTTTGTCTTCAAGGAGTGCTGACATTTGTTTATTCTTGGCAAGGCGTGCAAATGCGTCAAGCATGACGACTTGGGGATTTCGTCTTGTGTGAGTTCCTTTCAAGTTGCCTTGTTGCACCAAGTCAACTCATGAGGCTTCGTTTGTCACAGACAGGCGTCGGTCCCCTCAATTGGGGGCTTTGGATTTGGAGGGGTCAGCCAGGTGTTGGCCGGCCGGCCTTGGGCTATCCTTATAGTCCCGGGTAGGATCGGCCTGCTTGACCAAACAAGCACCCCAGACCTGCCGTGAGTTGACGTCTTTTTTCCCGGAGGCTGTCCTTTTAGATTCCACTACCCACCAAGCGTGGAAGTGAATATTTATATTATTTTGGAAGACTATCCTCTTGACAAGCGAGTCTGTGCACCATGTTAGTTTGTGGGAAGGTAGGTGAACGGCAGATGGCACCATTATCTTAAGGCGGCTAAGCAAAGGATAACGAACCAGAATGAAAGCATTATGCCATCTACTCTCAGCCAACTGTCGCTCCAAGGCGTGTCCCTTTTCCCCATGGAAATCCACTGGCAGACTCGACTCAGGTGCCGGACACGGAACAAGATCTCGGTCACTGGGCCCTGGCTTTGCCAACGTGCCGAACGGCTTCCGCTCGCGCTTCGCTCATGTCAGTCGACGGGCAGCTGTTATATATCCAATGTGTTTATTTGTTTGTGTCTTTTGGTGGCTGGTACCTGTGTTTGACTGTGTGTCTTTTGTTGTTGTGAGTGTCTTGTAGGTGGTGCATGTTTTTGTTGCTGAATCTGGTTATGGTGTTGTTTTTGTGTGTGTGTGTGCGGGGGGGGGACCTGTGTCTTTCTGTTTGTGGTATCCGTGTCCATTTCTTTTTTGCCATGACCAAAGGTGAATCACCCGTAGATATGGGTTTGTGGCCAAACTGACGTCACCTCAAACTGGTGGCTTCCTCTTTTGTCTTTTCAACCCAACCCCAAAAAGGGCTAGCTTCCAAAAGGACACGCCCGTGACCTGAACCCTTGGGAATTCATTTTGGGCCCTCGCGCTGGTTTCCCGCCTCTTTGCTGGAGATTGTATGTTGATTTGCTCCACGCAGTCTCAAATGGGATATGGGCCACCCAACACGGGCTAGGTTCCTGGTTCCTCTTCAAACCAACTGCACAAAGGCATAGGGGCCCTAAGCAGCACGATTTGGAAAGGCCAACATGTGAGTTTCTCTTCTGGGGGTTGGACATGCGGGTTGGCTTTTGGGGTTCCCTTTGAAATCCCTTTCCAATCGCCTCAAAACAAGACACACCCAGATCGGAAACAACAGATCCTCAAAGGAGCGAAACATGGACCCCCTAAAGGGATCCCCCAAAGAAGGAGTTCCCTTCGGGAAGGGCTTTTTACATTCGAAGTTCTTAATGTTGGAGAGGAGTTTAGGGCGCAGTCCATTTTCCCTTTTGGGGAGTTTCAGCATCACCTTTTGGGCCAATGTAAAAACTGTATCCTCTAAGTAGGGGGTGAGGTTCAGAGGTGAGATGCAGGGAGTGCAGTTTCGACCCAGCATGCGGCAAAACTGATTCAAGCCGTCTGAAGCCCCCTCCCTAGGACAAGAACCAAACAGAGGTTGCTTAAGTAGTGCCTGCAAAATCATGTTTTCAGCAACAGGGGTCCGATAGTTGTCCCTTTTCAACATCACCTTTTGGGCCCCCGCTTCAGGCGAGTTGTGAGCGATGTTCACGGGCGAAGCATGGGGAGCCCTGAACCAAGACCTGGTGAGACGCGCAAAGAAAGCGCAGGTATATGCACTTCACCTCGCCCATCCGTCGCTACGCGGACGTGCTGGTGCACAGAAGGCCAAGCGCAACTGCAATCGATACCTATCGAAGCCAACAAGGGCCCCCTACCCAGCCAGACCTGCAGTCGTGCCCTTGTTTCCTCAGAACCCTTCTCTGGATCCGCTTCCAATGATTTTGGCCTGCTAATACGTCCTTTTGTTGAGGCTTAAGACCAATCCAGGTGGTTCTACCAACTGGTTTCATGGGGATTCTTGAAAGGGTTTAGCGACCTCCAAGTGTGACGCGGCTGCTAGTGGACAAGTCGCTGCTTGGCCTTTCCGTTTTGGGCAACTTGCTACTACCTTAAGAGGCCGTCTGAGGCGTGCCCCTGAAGCCGCTAGACGCTGAAACTCTTGCAGCTCTTACGTGCTCCCGAACAAAAGCACCGTGCAGCCGCGGATGTTTTGAGGGACTTGCCGCCTGCCGTTTCAGTTGGATTGTCTTGGCCGAGCCGGATCTTGCTCCCAAGCTTGAGCCTCAGATCTGCGTAAATATATAAATATAGATGTGCGATTGTTGGTTCAGCTGGACATGATAATCTCGTAGATGGCTTGATGCGCACTCAAATGTCCACGACGCTCTAAGTAGACGAGTGATTAGGTCTGTCTTCTTTTGGCCCCTTGCTTGTTGGTTTGGTTTTGGGGGCGGTTTGATTTCCTATTTCCTACTTCTTCCTGGCCGGCGATCAATCTCATTTTGTTTGTCAGTTTCTACCTCCAGGCTCTGCCCGATCAGCGAGGCATTTGGTGCCTGCCTTTTTTTAGCGGTGACATGGCAGAACACATGTCACACGAGTGGGTATGTGTCGGACAAGACAAGAAAGCTGGATGTGTTCAAGTTCTCTGCACGGATGTTCTGGGATTTGGATTTTGAATAAATGCTGCGGGGGGTTCTACATGTAGATCAGCATTCCGCGTATATGTTCCAGCCCCTCTTTAAAGATCCCCCACCGGCCACACGGCGCCAAGCACGCAGGTTGGCGGTTTTGCTTGGCTTCGATGCCCCGCAGGGCCAGAGCCATGAGGCAGTCGGCAGTCGCGTCGGCCAGTGGCTCGAAGATGTTTTGTTGAGCCCTTTGTTGAGTACTTGTTTTTGTGGTTTTAAAGGTCATGTGGGAATACCCTTTAACAAGGCACACCCACACATTGCAATTGGTCCGTTTCATCCGCGGTGTTCTTTTTGGTTTCCCTTTACGACCAGCCAGAAACGGCTTCATGTGGTTGTCCTTGTCGTTTCAAGGCATCCAGCACTGGGCTTCCAACTTGTTTAGGATCTCTCCCCCATACGTGAATGCCTTAATTTCGCCCCAAGGCCTCTTAACCCCTAAGCCTTTGGTAGGGTCCCCTTCAAGGAAAGTTCTCATGTTGGTGGCGCCAAAGACACCCTGCCGATGCTTTAAGGCCGCTTCAGCAGCTCGGGGTGATAACTTGGACGCAAGATGGGGTGAGGTTGCTACATTCAATCAAGGATGTTTAGGGGGTTTGGATGGGCCTGGGGAACCACGAGTTCGGGGCGCTCTTCACATGAGATGTTTTTTGGCGACCTCGCAGTAGCGTTCCTTGCGTGAGGAACTATGCTTGCGTTTTGCTAAGCTTTATGAAATTCGAGTTTTCCTGCAATGTATTTTTGATATTTCAGGGTAGACACGGGTAGACTAAGTACTGAACATGGACCAGAATCTGAACGTATTGCTTTGTGTCCCCTGAGTTGGGCCATAGGAACCTGCTCACGTTGCACGCTAGCCAGGATTTTCTGAACAGCCTCAAGGCAGCAGTCCGGGTGCCCAGCGCCATGCCGTGCCTTGTTTTTGGGCGTTTGGGTGATGGGGGGCCCCAAACGGGGGTTGTTCCTTTGGTGTTCCTTTAAAAACCGCCGCGCAAATCGGACCTCGAAAACACCAGCCCATGGTCATAGTTGAACGACATCAACATCAGCCGTCAGAGAGTAGAAAGCTTTCAGGGGGAACCAAGATTGCACAGGACTCTTTCCATCGGATCTTGGTTTCGCCAAAAAATCAAAACGATTTAACGCGCGTTAAAGTTGTTGGTTTGTTGGGGACCAAGAGCAGGAAGTGGGAACAAGCTACTCGCACATGATGCAAAGTTTTGAACGACTATGTGTTCTGTTTGAAGCGTTGACAGGTGTACACATGTTGCAAAGTATGTTACCAAACTGCATAAGTGTGTCTTCAGACAAAGTCGAGCAACGCATCAATGGCAGTTATGGGTAAGCATGCTTTCAATGCGCTGGCCGTAGTATTGTAGCAGAATGTCTCAAGCATTCACTTGTTGAAGAGGAAGGTGTTGGCCATGATGCAGACATTAGTTGACGCGTGCATCAGCCTTACGCTCGGTGCACGGTGTCATGTGGAGGGCCTTGCTGCACTCACATCCACTTGGTTCGGGATCATACTGCCAGGGAAACTGCACTCTACCCTAAACCATCCCCAAACCAACCCTAATACCAAACCTAAAATTTACTCCAACCAGCCCCAACCACCATGCAAAAAAGAGAGGGGGGGGTAAATGAATTGACCCCTCCACCACACCCACCACTCCCCGCCACCAAACGCTTTTTTTTGCGGCCTCCAGGGCCCCGCATGAAAGCCCTGAGAGCCTTTGAGAGCGAGGAGATGAAGCACAAGCGTTCCAAACGGGCGAAACAACAAAGGCAGGAGTATTAACTTTGGTGCATTTTGCTTGGATGTTAGGACTGAAACTTTTTGCCAATTAACGGGTTTCCATTAAACCTCAACAAAAACACTTAGTAGGGGAGCAGAAGGCAACCGAGTTAAGCACCAAACAAGCTGCGCGCGGGCTTGCGTAAGTGAACAGCTGTGATACGGACTCTAATTGAAAGCTAGCTCGCTGACAGACGACAAAGAAGAAGCACGCAAGATAAAAATGCGTGGCGGGAATTGACATATCAACAACATGCAAATGATGACGCACAGAAATACAGCGTTTTGAGAAAGATGCGGTACATTATTGCAAGAAACAGATGTGCATATGCTGGGGTCGACATTCAAGTGCAGTGTTGTTGAGGACGGTTGCAAAATTGCGCACCTGCCAGGGCTGCAACACTGCAAGGCTTTGCAAAACTGCAGCCCCTGGCAGCCTGAAGTTTCAAAACTTCAAGAGTTTCCAAGACACTGCCCAAGCAAAGCTGCCAAACTACAGACCTGGCAAAGCAAGTCTGCTAAACTGCAGGCACTGCAGGCCTTGGTTGCAAAACAGACTTGGCAGGGCTTCAGCTCCAACACTGCAAGGCTTTGCAAAACTGCAACCCCTACCAACCTGCCAAAGCACTGCCCAAGCAAAGGTGCCAAACTACAGACCTGGCAAGGTTGTAAAATTGCCAACCTGCAAGGTTCCAACACTGCAGGGCCAGCTCCAACACTGCAAGACTTTCCAAGCAAGTCTGCTAAACTGCAGGGCCCTGGCAAGGTTGCAAAATTGCCAACCTGCAAGGGCTCCAACACTGCAGGGTTGCAAAACTACAGCCCTTGCCAACCTTGCCAACCTGCCAAAGTTTCAACACTGCAGGCTTCCCACTTGCTGCAAGGTCTGCCAAACTACAAATAAGGCTGCAAAATCCAAACTGCAAGGCCCCAACACTGCAGGCACACCCAACTTTTCAAGCCTGCCAAGCAGTCTGCTAAACTGCAGAGCAAGGTTGCAAACTACAACCTCTTGCTAACTCAACACTGCAAGACTTCCCAAGCAAGGCTGCCAAACTACAGACCTGGAGGTTGCAAAATTGCCAGAAATCAAAAAAATCAAAAAAATCAAAAAAATCAAGGTCCTGGAGCAGAATGCCCAGACCCAGTGACTATCTCTCTCAAGGCCTGTTTTTTTTTGTTTTTTTGATTTTCTCGAGGTTTTTCACTTTTCCAGATTCTGACCTGGGCATTCTCTCCCAGGACCCTGATTTTTTGTTTTTTTTGATGTTTTGTTTGATTTTTTTTGCCCTGAGCATCTTCCTTGTTGGAGCTTTGGCGTACAGAGCTGCAGTTTTGCAGCCCTGCCAAGTCTGTATTGCAACCAAGGCCTGCAGTGTTGGAACTCTTGTTGGAAATGCCTTGCTTGCCTGTAGTTTGGCAGCCTTGCCAGGGCAGCAGGGAAGCCTTCAGTGTTGAAACTTTGGCAGGTGAGGCGCTCAAGTCTTGCAGTGGCCTTAGTGTTCAACTCTTGCCAAGTGGGTTGCAGTTTTGAGCTGGAACCCAGTTTGGCAGCTTGCTTGGGCAGTGTGCTGGAAGTGCCAGTTTGGTGGTGGAAGTCTTGTAGCAGGTGGCAAGAACCCTTGCCAGGGTATTGAAACTTGGCAGGTTGGCAGGTTGCAGTTTTTTGCAGCCTTGCCCTGCAGATTGGCAGCCTTGCTGGAAATTGTGGAATGTTGCGCTGGGCCAGCAACCAAGTTTCAAGCCTTCCTTGCAGTGTGGGAGCTTTGGCAGACAGAGCTCCCAAGTTTGTTTTGCAAACAGGCCTGTGTTGGAACTTCTGTTTGAACTCGCTTGTCTGTAGTTCAGTGTTGTCGAGGTTTATTCACTTTCCCAGATTCTGACCTGGAAAAGTGAAAAACCTCGAGAAAATCAACAAATCAAAAAAACAAAAAAATCAAGGCCTTGAGAGAGATAGTCACTGGGTCTGGGCATTCTGTTCCTGGACCTTGAATTTTTTGATTTGTTTGTTTTTTTTTATTTTTTCGAGGTTTATGCACTTTCCGAGATTCTGACCTGGGCATTCTCTCCCAGGACCCTGATTGTTTTTTTGGTGTTTTTTTTTTCTTCGGGTTTTTTCAACATGTTCATCCTGTGCAGCCAAAAGGCAGATGCAAGATGAAGTTGGGAAGCCAGAAGCCCGAGACCTTGCAGATTCTGGCATGTGTCACCAGAGATAAAACACAGAAAATGGTCGATCTTTGGGGGGGGGGGGTACCGTACATATATATATATGTGTGTATATATATATATGTATTATATGTGCATGCTTCACTGCTTGTATGTTTTAATAGGCATTGACTGTCCATTTGGGGGGATACAGCTTGGGGGTTCCATATCCTTTTGAGACAAGCCCACAGTTGTCTGTACTGACTATACCACTCATCTGACGGTTGGACTGCTTACTGTATACCCCGAAAGCATAAGTGGCATACAACCTCCACTCTTACAAACAACCCTCTTGAAAATGCTCAGACACGGCCGTGCTGAAAAACAACCCCAAAAAGGGTACCCTCACAAAAAACAAATACACCATGGATAAAATTCCCCCCCCCCCCACCGATTTCGGTTTCAATACCCCTGTTACTTGCCGACAGAAAAGGGGATTGCGCTATCTGCTTTAACCCCACTGTACGTGAGCCACTGCCAGCACCCAACGGTTTCGTTGTGGGTTGCCGGCCTCCGCGGGATCGCTCCGCGAGCAACAGGTAGAGACCTGCAACGTCAAGAAGCGAGCGGCGCAGGATGCGGGCGGCCCAGGGGGCGGTTTTTCGGGGCGTTGGTGTTGCGGGCGCTCGAAGCGTGTTCTGAAGCATCTCCCGAATGGAATCCGGGAGCCCCAGGACTGGGAAAGTTGATTGGCCCAAGCGGCCATGCTCGATAAAACATACATAGGCCATTTATGACTGAGGCGCAGAAATTTCGCTCGGCACCTTTCTCGTGAAATGCTTCTCCGAGTGGCCAGACACTTCAAAGGGGAGGGATGATCAAGGCAAGGAAGTTCCCATCACGCTTCTCATGAACTTCCGCGAGCTGAGGCGCAAATGGAGGAGATCCAGATTGCCATCTCCGACTACGTGCAGCGCAGCGGAGGCAGGCGTCCCGCACGCGAGGTTGGCCAATGAATGCCCGTAAAGGAAAGTACGGGTCAGTAGGGCGCTTCAAATGTGTGCGCCCGTTTTTTTTCTCACTATTTACGTGGGTTTGGAGGAGATACCAGCTTCTCTGTATGACTCCAGTCTGCTTGGGTTTGGAAGTTTGAACTGTTTCAGTCATGGTTCGCTTGTTTTGCTCCACGGTTAGTGGAACATGTCGCTGTCCTGAAACATTGGCTGCATGTTGGAGGGCAACAGTGTCCTAACCTTGACAATGGCCCAGCAGTACAGCGACACCTTTTAAAAAGCACTCTAGTCTTCCCAAATCCTTTCACAATGATGGCGAAATGGAAAATCACAGACGCTACTGGCGAAGGAGCTTCATCGTGAGGTCTGAGCTTAGTTTACCCCTATTCATGGTATACAGATTTTAAGTACCTCCACGGAAGGGTATTGGTACGGTGATTATTTGACCTTGACAGTCGGGGCGTCACACAACACATACCAAGAGGAAGGAAGGAACAAAGATATGTCCCAGCAATGTTTAAACCCTGCCCATAAAGATCAACTTGAGTGATTTTAGTGTTTGCGCATGCACCGCGCTTGTGTTTGCTACCAAGGGACCGAGAGGAAGGGACCCTCGGTTTTACAACCCCAAAAACCAGGCCTGGCCCTGAGCATGTGGTGAGAATCGCCCTCAACCTGCCCAGCTGTTTGCGGTGGGTTTCCCTTAAGCCAACAAAGTGGAAGTCATGTTATCTGTTGGCCACTCCATCAAGACCCTGGATACTGCGTCCTCTTTACCAGGATTTGCCCTCCTAAGATGGAACCCACCAGAAGGCTCCTTTACGAGAGAAAGGAGGTAGGATCCGAATTCCCGCCTGTGCGAATTGGGGGCCTCCGGCTTTGCGGGCGAAGCGGGGGCTTTGAGAAAATTGAGGTCGCTTGGCAACGGTGTGCCATGAAACGACCAACCGCTTATTTGAGGTTTCGGATGTGGATCCGGCGGTAAGACAAACAGCATGAGCTGCAAGGGTTCCGCTGCAGGAAAGCATCAGAATGTTTGTTGATTGCGGGGTAGACAAGCAGTATAAGGATTCCATGGAGCCTCGACAACAATGCCCTACAGTTGGATGAAGAGTTCGGCCAATGAAGACTTCAAGTGGGAAAGTGTGAAAACCATCTCCAGCAGCCGTTTCATGGTGGCTTCCTTTTGGAATGGGCCAAACTGTTGTTGGACTCAGAATGTGGAGCCATGCCCAGGTCATGGAAGAGTCTCGACAAACGGGTGTCTCTTTTGGGCAGGGTTAGGGTTCATCAAGAGATACGTGTTGGTCACATGGATGAAGTTGAACAGCACCTGTTTTGATGCTTGGCGGTTCCTAGCTATACCCTGAGACTTGGTGTTTGTTGTTTTCGATTTCGGATAGATTCGCGCCATGGCCCGCTAAAAGTTTCACTGTTTGCAAGGGATCAACGGACGACACAGTTAATTAGTCATCATGCGTTCCGATGCAAAGGAGCCCAGGTTGGCGTGTTTTTAGGGAGCTCTTTCACTTCAACCCCTTGCTGCACTGTTGTCATGTGTTGCTTGTATGCCAAGTTGGGAAGTCACAACTTCTCCCAAAAACTACGTTTGGACAAGGTCAGGTGTACTGAGCTGCAATGCCGCCGTGAAATTGACCGTACCTAGCCGTGGCATTCAACGCAAGAAGGAAACGGTGCATCGCCTTTTCGTGACGGCTCCGCTTTTGTTTACCCTCGGGGGTATCTTGAGCTAGGTAGGTCCCTGGGGATCCAATTCTCATTGCAGGTTTGAGTACATAGGTGTCCTTTTTGGTTGGTTTGGCTGAAATGGATCTGTCTCTAAGCAAACCAAGCACAAAAGACATCGATGTTTGGGTATAAGTGTAGATTGTGCAGGTGCTGGGGATATTGGGGGGGGGGGGGGGGGTAGGGCAGCTTTTTCTGATGCCAAGCGAATCTGAATGTAATGGCCCCCTTTGGAATTTGCAGATGACCTCTTTGATGGGGCTAGGAGAGGTCCATCGACAGCGGTCCATTTGTCCCAGTTCATAGGCTTGGTAGCTTGTCGAAGACCATTCCACGGGACAGCTCCCAGAAACGAGGAATAATACTTTTGGAAACCTGCGGATTTTAGAGGAGTTTATGAGAGCCAAGCTCCAGTGATCCATTTACCTGTTTATGGCCAGGCTTGACTAAGCTTTTTAAAGACTTAATCTTTGTTGTTTTCCTTTCTCCCGTTCAACCAGGAAAGAAAAAGCATGTTGCCGGGGTTCTAAGTCTGGCCCGGTGTATTTGGGCTAGGTCAGTGCCGTTTTCTGCTCATCAGTTGCGCTTTTGTGTCAGGTGTGGATGTGGACGACGCGGTGCTTACCAAAATCTTGGTGCACGGCGGCCTACCTGCGAGCTCAGGTGGTACATCCACCATGGCAATGTTGAAGTCCTTTAAGGCACTTGTTAGTTTTTTTTTGTTGGCTGTTGTTCTTAAACTTGGAGAATTTAATGTTGAACTACCTTCCTGGCAAAGTCTTGACACTTGAATGGAACCAGCATGTGAGTTTGGGAAGGTTTATAGTGCGACAGCTCGACCTGGGTGATGGACCTTTGGCTCTGTTGCTTGCCCTTGATTTGGCCCTCCCTTTGCTTTTCAACGGCTGGCTCCAATGGATTCATCCTTACACGAAATGGGCCTTGCGGCCTGGGTGCAGACAATCAGCAGATGGTCCGCACGCGGAGGGACAACCCGCAGCCCGGAGGAGCTGCCGGAGTGGGTGGAGCGCACCCCGTTGCGGAAGAGTTCGCCCTAAGCAGAATAGCGCATAGTTCATCCCAAAGCGAAATGTTGATTTAAGGTACCCCACAACCCCATTCTGGTGATTTAGGCTCTCATATGACCTTTCTTTCCGGCAGAAAGCGCAGGTGCGCCTTTTGGGTGCCTTTGAGCGGTTTGGATTTCTTATCGCCTCCCTTGCGCACCACCGGTATGCGTCAAAATGGGGGACCCGTAATATGTGTGGTGTTCATGTTGGTTCCCGTTAAACCAATGTGAAACGAGCTTCCTCAAGAAAACACACACACACACAAAGCAATGAATGTGAAGCAGGCCAAATGTCAGCAGCAACCGAGCAAGCCACGTGCGCGAATTGATTGCTTGGCACAAGGCTTTCTCTGGGCGGTTCAGTCCGATAGAGACCTTTACTTGGAATTCCACGAATCCTTCTTGAAACAATCCAGCGGAAAGGCACTGGTTTAAATGAACGTCGATTCAAAAGAACTTGAGCTGGAACTAGAGAACTCTCGAGTTCTTGATTCACGTTAGGTGGATTCCACTGGTTTGGGGTACGTCCCTTTCTTGGCAACTTTCTGTGATAAGCGCTGGTCAGCCATCCAGGCCAGCTGTGAATGATCCATTTGGGTGGTTTACCCAACAATTGACAAGCGGACCGGGTTGGGCGTGTCTTCCATAAACGGTGTGGGGGGGTTGAAGCCCAACTCCCCCTTTGCAGGCCCCCATTTGAGGCGCTCATATTTATTTAGTTATTTATTTATTTATTTATTTATTCATTCATTTTGTTCATTCATTTATTTATTTGTCCAATTGTTTTTATATATTTAATTTGTTTTCATTCATTGAATTTCTTACTTTTCGCAAAATGCTTATTTATTCTATTTGGGGGGGGGGGAGGGGGGTGGGGGGAGGGCTGCAAAACAATAAAAAAGGATGGCGCCTTTAGCTCCCCGTATCTTGCTGGTTCCCAGCAAAGAACCAACGGGTGTTTTGGGAAGTCTTTCAGGAAACCATAAGAAATGGTGAAGTGGCGTAGGGGTCATTCCCTCATTCCCTACTGCGAACCAGCAAGCTTTTCGACCAAAAGGCTGTGTGCCATACAGTTCAGGTGAGCCCTTCCTACTTTTATTGTTCTGAAAGTAACCAGCATGGAATCCGGATGACAAATTTCGAGCGGCCTTTTGGCGGGTTCCAAATGGTTGGTGGGGGGGGAAAGCCAAGTTCAGACGTTGACACATCCGACGGCAGTCACCACGGTTGTGGGAATCACCTTCACCGTCTAGTTCCAACACTCAGCACTTTGCTGCTTCAAAGGGAATCCCCAGGGTAAGGGTTCATTAAAGGGACATCCTGAAATGTACCCTCCAAGTTTGAGGAGAACCCCAACATGTTCGCTGATTGACCCAGTACCACAGAACATGGCAACCTAAGAATCCCCCTCACCCCACCCGGGCTTTTTCCACAAATCCCCAATAAAGGGCCCTCTTCGAACCATACATTTTCGGAATCCCTGTGGCGATCATCCGGAAAAAGCCAACCGTGTGAGGTTTGAGTTGAGACCAGGCCCGGATTAGGTGGATCTCATTTTGACAAGCAGTTATTTCAGATGCACTTGTGACAACCTGGCCTGCAAACATGCAGCAAAGGATGGAATGTGCGTTGTCCGACGTCCGAGGCCCCGGCAGAAGGAAGTTCAGGAAGCTCCGAAGGCGGGGGGGGGGGGGGGGTTTAGCCCGAGGGGTTTACCCAGTTCTCCGGTGGTGCGTGGTGAGTGGTGACGTCGGGGCAGACCCTCAAAACTCGAAGGGTTCTCTAAAGCTTGGAATCAATTGGGGGTTTTGGGAAAGCGGTGGAGTTCAGCCAAGGATGGTTCAGCTGGGGTTCCAACCAATTCGTTCCTTATAAAAACCAGCAAGAAAAGCAATGCGACGCTGGAGTCTTGTGGCCCTTCGATCCGGCCAGGGCCAGCTTTCATTCCGGCAGCGCAGGGGGCGCCAAGAAGAGAGGGAGAGAACAAAAGGAGAGAATTGAGAGAAGACAGAGGGGAGGGAGGGAGGGAGGGAGGGAGGGAGGGAGGGAGGGAGAGAGGGAGAGAGAGAGAGAGAAAAAAAACAAAAAGGAAGAAGAAAAAGCAGGGAGAGGGAGACACAACATAAAGCCCCGATTGCAAATTGACCAGTGTTAATTAAGACGTTGGGGAGAAATTGAGACCATAGTTGTGGAACGGTTTTGGTTTTGGGTTGCTACTTTCTCTCATACCCTCGCGGCTGCCTACCCCTGACCCCCGGAAGTAGCTACAAATGTACAAATGGGAATGGAATCCCACGTGTAGGTTGAAAGGGTGATGTTCCACAACGGAGTCGAGAGGCGAAAGCCATGTTTCCATTCTCCATTGAAAGAAGTCAAAGGAAGTTTCACCGAATCCTGGTAGATGAAAGTAAGGGATGGTCCCAGGAGGTGCGGAGATCCGCAATGTCCATGATTTAGCATATCTGGGTTTTGGCTAGACCACTTGGGCGTGTCATTGTTGGTGGTCGATACCCTTTTTGACTTGGTTTCAATGGGCACCGAAAGGAAACAAAGTGTGTTGGCGGCTTCCTCTATGTTGAGACAAACCCATTTTACTGGTAACTCGGGCGAGTTGCACCCAGACTTTACGAAACCCATTTGGGTGTGCCTCGTTTTGAAGTTAGTACCAAGCGTTCACGTTGGTTTCAAGGGAAACTAACAGGATAACCGCCAGATTAGAGGTCCTGTATAAATGGCCACCATATGTGTTTGTTTCTCCGGCATCTATGCTGAGCAACCCCCTATATAAAAGGATCCCCTGAATAGAGGCTTCCAGACGTGCGTGGGGATAATGTCAGATAAAATACTTAGCTCCTAGCATCTCTTTGATTTCTCAAGAATGTCCAAAGGACAACCCCTGCTCCGATGGCCCAGGCTTGACCAAGAGAGCGCTCAAAGAGGCAGGGTCTACCTGGCGGGTGGTGCTTGTTTCCTTTTGGTTGGGCCAGAGTTCTGTTCTCTCAAAAAAGGCGGCAGCGCTGGTCTGGGCTGTGCAAAGGTTACACAATGTTCGGCCATGCTATTCAAGTCCGCATTGCATCGCTTTTCCGATAGGGATTGTGGACAATTGGCATGCCTCGTGTTTGAACATCTCAGCAAAAGGACAAGTCTTGTCACTCAGAGAAACATGGGCCCAGAGGTGGGTGGCTTGAACATTTGGAGTCTGCCAGTCCACGATGCATTGCCTGGGGTATCCTTTGGGGTTGGTTCACAGGGAACCAAAGAAAAGCCACCTATCTTGGAGTTTCCGTATTGTTTTTTGGAGACGGGACCACAAGATGTTGGCATCCAGATCTCCAAAAAGACATTTCTTGGATAGCAAACACCCCGGGGTAGACTTAGGATAAATGTTAGATTTGACCAGTGGCCTGAAGTAGTTCAAACAAAACCATACATGCATTCTATAACTGGTCCTAACTCAAATCATGGACTCCTGCCATCCCCTAAACACACCAACCCAAAGACATCTTCAGTTTTGGTTTCTATTTCCGTGAAAGGCGTGGGGTCCAAAGCTCGAATTTCTTAAGCAAAAAGGCAGAGGGTTCGCGGAATATGAAACAGACAATTCGAACTATAGGGTATGTGTCAAGATGGGGGGGGCTCCAAAATGGGTGGTTTCCCTTTGGTGCCTTGAAACAGACCCCAAATTTGGTAGCCGCCAAAAAGCACACGCGTACCTTTGTTGGTTGGCAAAAGATCCGAGTTGGTTTAGCCTTGGTTTTTCTCTTTTCCGGTTTCTGGCTTTAGCATCCGAAGATGTCAGGCCGACTCTACGTATCCAGTTCTAAGCTTGGGCATGCCACCGGGACCGCGGCAGGCGGTGGAGATCTATGTGCCCTTGGCGCAGAGCGCCAGGTCTTTGAGCCCAGAACCCAGAGAAGTCCGAGCCAAAGCAGGGTGTCTTAGGTGAGTTTGGACATCGGGTTCCAGTGGTTTAGACTAGACATGTTTTTTTGTTTTTCTTATACCTATGTGGGTAATGTTGGCCTATCGATCTAAGTAGAACCCGTCCTGAAGAAAGGGCCGTGCCCGTGTCCTTTTGTTTATGTTTGTTTCCCTTTCAAGCATCCAGCTTTCAAGCATCCAGGGCTATCAAAGAACGATATAGTCTCTGCTGTTTTGGTGTCCCGTGTGACAATCTTGTGTTTGCCTGGCTTTTGGCGGTTACCCTGAGATTCCCTCTCCAGAAGGCGACTGACTGGTCTGTGGGATGGGATTGTCCATGCCACGCTCAGCTTGCGGTCGCGAAAAGTGCTGGGACCAAGGCCCGGGTCAGGCTGGAGAACGTGACCTTTGGCACAAACACGTTTGAAGATCATCATCCAGAAATGTTTCGGCGGGTGCGCTTGCATCCGTCCCACCCTTACCGGCTACTCGGCGGGGCAAACCACTACCTCTCCGGTCCTGGATGCCTGGAATCTGGACGTACTCAGCACCTTTTGGCGCCTTTCAGATCCAGGAGCCGTTGCGCATGCTATTTGGGTAAACAAGCGCGAAAGGCTTGCTGATGTTCATATGCCCAAAAGAGCTGTAGATATTCCGTCAGAAAGTGGTTGGTAGTTTGTAGCCCAAACCAACGAGTATGAACAAGGGGTATGTAGTACAGCTACTAGATGAGAGCCGTGCAAAGGTGCCCTGGGAGTTGAGGGAGAATCATGTATGCTGAAATGACAATGTTGCCCTTTCGTCTTGTTCAATTGTTTAGAACATGGATGGGTGCCATCCCACCGGGAATCCCACCAATGCGGATGTGCATTCCCGAGGTCTATGCACGGGCACCTTTGTTGGTGAGAGGGTATGTGCCTAGGGACCCCCACAACAAGTTGCCTCACGCAGGTTCCCTCTGGCACGGTTCGGGGCACTTCTTCTGACAAAGAGGATCCAAGACGGAAATATAGGGGCTGTCTTTCCTCCAAACGAGAAGATTTGCCTCTGAGGTGAGAGACACCCCTATGAATCAGCCAGCGGGTCCTGGATCAAAATGCTGCCTGTCCTGTCTTGGCGAGGGAATGAGAGGTCCTTGGAAAGCTCGCTAGCTGACTAACTCGTGGGATTTGATTTAGTTGTTGTTGTTTTTTTAAATAGCATTTTGGCTATCCCTTGGGGTCTGATTTGCTTTCCTGGATTTTACCCCATGTGAAGACTCGAAAAAGCGGTATTTGTTTGCACCCTTCGGGAAATACGTGAACCCCCCCGCCCCCGGTTTTGATTTAATTTTGTAAGTTGTTGAGATTTTTTTTGTGCAGGCTTGAAGGAGTTCGGAAAATACCCTGGATTTGGGAGGACGATGATGATTATTATTCAGGGGAGAAATATTAAAAACATAGTGGTGATGTTGTTGGACGGTTAAAGAGACTTTTAAGATTAAAATGAATAATATATTAAAATTAGTAATGGATGAAAAAGACATAAGTGAAATGGATAAAATTATAAGAATTATTGAAACATGGTTTGGTGGACATAGATGTGATAGTTATTTAGATGGTATGATGAAATAATCAAGTATACCATGGATATCACCATTACCATAATATTTGTTAATACCTTGGCAGCTCTTATCTGTTTGTATTTCATATTTGAAGAAATTATTGTTCAAGAATAAGAGAGTCACACAAATCCAACACTTCACATTTATAACCTAGATATATTCTACTTTTTGATAAATAATTTGCAGATTCTTCAAGTCTATTCAAACCATTTCCCAAATCAAACAATTGATTAAACCATATTTCACCTCTTGATAAATCTGAGTACAATCTAACTTGTTTACTTCATCCAACATATCTTTAATACAATCCATATTAGCGCCAGGTTCTCCTGAATCGGCTTGTATTGGCGGCTTGGGGATTTTAATCACGCTTTTTGTCGAGGGGAAATGGGGAGCTACCCAAACCAATCCAAATCTCACACCGATTCGGGGGAAGCTGAGGCCTCGAGGTCTTGAACCTTGAGCTGGCTGCTCCGCCAGAGCCGGAGCAGGGGAGCCCGGCCTCGGATTCGGGTGACACCCGACTGGCCAAGAGGGTTGGCGACTCGGGAAGTCCTTGGCGACTCAGGGCCCCGGATCTGTGCTTAACCAAAACCCATGGCCAGAGCACTGGAAAAGAGCATCGGCCGGAAGTTTGTTGCTAGGTCAAGCGGAAGCCAACTTTTTACTGGGGTGTTGTCGGCGAAAAAGTCAAGCTGCTGTTCGGGGCGCTAGCCAAATATGGGTCCACTTGAGGAGTACAAACAAATCTTTGAGGATAGTAACGCAGCATCGGTTTCTCAAAGTAACAAACGGGTTGACTATTCCCCTTTAGCCTGCCGCTGACATAGTACGTGGTAGAGTTATGAGTCACTTTCCCTCAACTTGTGGAAACTCCACCTTCAAACCACTCAGCTTTGTCCGGGGGAAATCCCAACTGTTCAGGGGTTGGATGGATTTTGTGGTTCTCGTTATTTCAGACCCTCCCTTCCACTAGCGGCTAGCGTAGTCCAGCGTGAGGGTAAGCTACCCCCTCACATGCCATGGACCACCTGTGGGCAGGCTTGTGCGAGGCAAATCATAGGGACCTGACAAATTTGCGGCGGTCTGGCACTGGCAGGGGCTACTTGGAGGGTTAACATTGCGCGCAAGCCAACCACTTTTCCGGGCAGACCATTAATTTGAAAAGACCAGTTTGCGGAACAGCTTAGTTTGTTTGGAGGAGACTGTGCCTTTAGGGCCACCAACGCTTTGTTGGGCGACTATCTCCACACGGCGTCAAGACTTGTTTGGGAGACATTTGTGCTAGGATGCCAAGCATTGTTTGGGTATACCTTTGCAGTCCAACACTTGTTTTGTTCTGGGACCATTTTTCGGGACGTTCAGCTGGTTGGGAAAGGAGATTGTTGGGACACTGAAGCTTTTGGATCTTTGTGGTTGCCAATTCATGAAGTGAGAGAATGCTTGAGGCCCTGTGAATGCTTTGATCCAGAAAAACACAAAATTATTGGACGACGGGATGTAAGGAGAGAGTGTACCCGATACGCAATTGGTGTGTACAGAACAACATATATGATCCTGGTTTGGTCTTGGTGTGGCAACAACATGACTTTGAGGAATAGATTAGGATTGGCGAAGGGTTGGTTTAGGTCTGTTTAGGAAGTTGTTCATTGCGCTTGTTTGAGGGCTGGTTTAGAGTTTGCTTATGGCTGGCTTGGGTTGGTCTAGGTGGCTTCGGCTTGGGCTTGCAGTGGTTAGGTGGGTTTGGGCGGGTGTGGGGGATTGATTAGGGTTATTCAGGCCTGCACCTGCTGCTGTGGCTTTCTGGTTCGCAGCGAATTTTGTCCGGCGGGTCCAGAGCGACACTCTGTGTCTGTGAGGGCACGTACTCACATGCAAGCAGCAGCAACTAACAGCACACAGCATGTTCTGCGTGTGTGTATGTATGTCTGTATGCATGTACGTTTGTATGTGTATGTAATGCATGCACGCATACATACATGCGTGTATGCGTGGTTATATGTAGGTATGCATGGTGAATAGAAAGTACCAGCATGGTAAGAGGGATGTGTGTTTGCATGCAGCGCCAGCAGCACCAAGCACCAGCAGCACCAGCTGTACCATGGTGCCAGTAGCGCCAAGCAGCAACAAGCAGCACCAAGCACTGGCAGCACCACGCACCCTGTCAGGAAAAGGGCGGCCAGAGCCAGGGGGCCCAGAATGACAGACAATCAAAAAACAACCCTTGCTCACAATGAGGCAAGCCTGGAGCAGGCCATCCTTGATTGGAGGTGTGACAGGCGCGGTCGGATCAACCTCATGCTTTCTTCAACCTCTCTGCTTGTTGTTTGCCCCCCCCAATTCCTGTTCACCCCGCACACGCATCGCTGTCACCCCCTCCTCTTCGACCCCGCATTCTTTGTCAGCGGCCCTTTGCTTGGGCCACGGCTGCTGCATGTGCGCGGAGCGCTCCAATCAACCTTTGCGCTTTCTTCCACAGGCCGCCACGCTCCATGTCTATGTGCTACCTCTCTCAGGGCACTGCCGGAATTTCGTTAAACGAGCCACAACACTCACTTAAGTCTACGCTCTCATGTCACACATTAGCCACGCTGGTCAAACAATGCGCCCCATGCCAAGGACGATTTCTTTACACATACTGTCTTGGAACTTGCAATGCGAATGCTCGTGGATGGTTCGAACCACGACCTGGCGCCTGTTTCAAGAAGATCGCTGCCCCTTGGGATATGTTTGTTCGCTTTGGGCATGCTGCGCAGCTCTCACTACGCAAGTAACCAGCCAAGCTTTGGCCTTTGTCAGGTCAAGAAGCCGAGTCAGAAAACATGGTTCGCTTTTGAAACGGAAGATGCAGATCTGGCAGTTCTGTACCGCTTGTACATGTAGCAGCGTTCCACTAACGAGGTGTCGGCTTAGTGGATACGCTCGACTCAAACTTCGGTATAGATTAAAGTTGGACTTGCGAGGTTTCGGCTGACGCTGTCAGACCTTCTGGGCAGGGCGGTCAAGTACACTTCCGGGAATGGGGAGCGCGCCCGTCACGCACATACGTGCGATGAAGCTCGTCTGATCTCGCCTGAATCTGTCAGATCTTCTGGGCAGGGCGGTCAAGTACACTTCCGGAAATGGGAGCGCGCCCGTCCCGCACATATGTGCGATGAAGCTCGTCTGATCTCGCCTGAATCTGTCAGACCTTCCGGGCAGGGCGGCCAAGTACACTTCCGGTAATGGGAGCGCGCCCGTCCCGCACATACGTGCGATGAAGCTCGTCTGATCTCTCTGAGACTCGTGGCTGAATTCTTCGCTGCACGTGCAGGATGAAGCGTCCAGACGCCACCTTTGAGACTGAACAGAGCTGAACTTATAATCCGGCTGCGTTTGTAGCCAAGGGGCCAGCATGGTGCGCCGCAAGTGCATATGCGCAGTAGGCCAGGCCACGCATTTTGATCATGGGGTTGAATTTGGCACTTTGTCATGCAAAAAGAATGCGCGCTTTCAGCCTTTTCATGACAAATGTTAGAGGCGGGCAGGCGACAGCTTGAAACCGAAGTCAACATAATAGGTCAACACAGGTCTGGCCCTTCGAGGGACAAGGCGCCAGAAATGTGTCACTCAAGGAAAGACAACTGTAACTGTTTTTCTGCGAGAACTGCGGTCTTTGAAAGCAGTTCAATGTTTACGACGATAAGTAGAAGCAGGGATGCACCCTCGCAGAGTGGAGAGCACGCACTGGTGTCGGGCGTAACCCAGGGATTGTGAGCAGGTTTCGTGCGGATCGCCCTCCAGAGTCAAACGCTTGGTCGACGACCAGCGTTGAAAAAGTTTGATGTGCTTCCGTGGCCCCGTATTCTGTGACTGTTGCGCAGCGTTCCCAAAGTTCCCATTCCTCGGCTTTTGTTCATTTCATGGTGGGGCGTGCCTTTGATGTGTTCAAATTCTTTGGCCAAGCAGCTTGCGCTTTCAAAGGCCAGAACGAGAGCCGCAGAGAGCTACAGGGTGGCAGCGGGCCTGGTTTCTAGGCGGAATTTTCCTAGGGAGGTTTGACCGGAGGCTTGGTTTTTAGGGGAATTTGATAGGCTTCTGGAGTGGAGTTTGCCGGTCTCTGCTTTTTAGGCGGGATTTGATTGGCTTCTCGAGTTCTAGGAGGGAATTTGATTGGTTTCCTAGACGGGAAGTTGACTGGTTTTTAGGGGTGATTTGCTTGGCATGTAGAGGGGGATTTGAGACCGGTTTCTAGATCATTTGACCGGGAATGGGCCGGTTTTGAGGGGGCCTTTGAGATGTGATTCACTTGCAAGAGACCGCTCAGGCCGGAGTCGACATCAATGGGTGGCGGCGAGAAAGGCGCGGGACGGTCTTTCAGGTGAAAACAACAGTTGGCTCTGAGTGGAGGATCGCAAACGCTAAGGAACCATGGGATTCCTGAAAGGACAGTTGCAGGGATGGTTTTTAAGGGGTCACGCCTTCATGAGAAACAACAATCGGGGGGTTCGTGAAGAAGCGTTATATTTGGAAGCTCGAAATTGTAATGCTAGCCTCGGTTCAATCCGAAAGACCGCGCTAGTCAGGAGTGAATGGAAACCAAGATTGGAAGCTCTGCCGAACTACTCCCCAGAGCTGGCATGCATGGCAGTGATGCATTTATGGTATAGCCTGGGACCTGAAAGGATAGAACCCTCAATGCGGGTTTATGCCTCAAATTCGCGGAAGGGACGCCACAACCCAAGGACCATGGTTCGGTCACTTGCTGCGCTTTGCTTGGGGAAGAAAACCGTGTGATGTCTATGAAAAAACATTCATATGCCCCGTTGAGAGAAACTTTGGGTATTTGTTTGTTAGGCTGACAAATTTGAGTGAGTTTCCTCATGGGATGGTGCTTGACGGGGCCACATGCAAGGATCTCTTGGCCCAGCCCAACAGATAAGCCCCGTTTTTCCCTTGGTCGGTCAACAGGTCGAACCAAGTATGGGAACACTACCGTTTGGAGAAAAAAACAATCCTGCCTGCTTTCAACAACTTAACATGGGGTCTAATGCTTCTTTCCTACCTGCCCTGGAATTGCTTGCCAGGGGAGGCGAAGGACAAGTACCGCGAGGCGCGGGTTGCTCCGCTGGATTTGCGAGCGTGGAGTTCGCTTCGGATCCATTGCGCTCTAAGCGCCGTATGTTAGCGGTGCTGACACATCAGGCCATGCTATTCTTACAAGTCCACCAACACAACTTGAAAGCGTGCACTGCCTTTGTTGACTCATAGCTCCGATGCTCTAGATGGCCAAGCCCGAGGGCAGAGCAGTGTTTTTGTTTTGTTTTTCTTCTGATCCCAGTAGTGTCCTTTTCATCAACAACCAATTGCCTACCCTTGTTCCTGTTTCAGGTCCGGGGAGAGAGCACCCTCGGCTGCAGACTTTGAGTAACAGCTGCACACCTGAAAGGTTGAAACGTGCAATTTGGGGAGATCATGAACACTTCCAGGCTTCAAACTTGGCACTTGAGCGCCACGCAAAGCACAACAGCGGACTCGAAACCAATGATTCCCTACGGTTTTCCTGTAGGTCACGAAAACCTCAAATTGAAAAAGCAGCCCCTTCCATCACCATGTGGGTGGTTTCGGAAAAAAAAAAGACTCCCAAAAGCGGATGAGTTTCCAGGGAGTGAGAGATTCCTATAGGAAACATCCACATTGCTTGTCAACTCCTGGGATATTAATATGTGTGAAATTGGGGGACCCAACCAAATGTGTAACCTTCAAAAGCGTACCCAGTCTCAAACACACAGACCCATGTGGGAGTTTGTCTTACAATGATTTCGGCCCCATTTTAGTTGGTAAGCGGGAAGTTGAAAGGAAGCCGTTGTTTCTAGGGGTTGATTGCCCATTCTTTTCAACCATCGTTCTTTCCAAGAACCAAATTCGTTTTCCTAAACTCCGGAGGTTTTCTAGAAAGAAGGATCCCTGGAAAGAGTTGAAATGGAAGGTACCCCCAGAGTTGTCCTAGGAAACCAGCCATCACCAGGTCCAAAGCCTCCGGGTGAGGATTCGCGGCAGTGCCCAGGAGGCTGATCCGGTCGGGGCCATGATCAGTCCAGAGTTGGGATGGGCGAGTTTGGATTTGTTGCTTGAAACCAGGTCGTTGCTCAGCCAGCTGAACGCGCACACCTTCCCACTTTGATTAGAGCAGCGACTTGGCAGCCGGGACCGGTGTTTGTAGCTGGTGTGCTTGGGAAATGAAGGGAAGATCAATCACTCGTTGGGTTCCCCAAGCCTGAAAATACCAGCCCGAGTTTTGCAGGGCTGGTCAAGATCCACGTGATCTACACCATCTTTGACTTTGGGTGTTGTACACGTTAAGACGTTCGTTGTTTGTTTTCAATCCATCTCTCGGCTGAATGTTGAGTGTCCCTTTTGAAGCTATCGTTTTCGAACAAAGAGGGGGATACTTAAAGCCCTTCCAAGGCCTTGCACAGAATAACTGAAACAAGCAAATCAATAGCTAACAACCCCACAACAACAAATCAAAGAACTCTATCAAAGCCGCCCAGCGACAGGTGATGTCCAAACTACCGAGAAAACACACAGCCACCTGCCCGTTGGTCAACCAAAGGAGATGTCTCAAGCCGATTTGGCCAGTTTACACCTGATAGTAGGGGTTTGTGTTTTGCCTTTTCTCTTGAAGCCAACTACAATTTTGGTGTCCACCTATTTGACGCATTCCCACCTGCAACATGAATGTTGGTTTTGCTTTTGACTTCTGTTGAACCAAACCTACCGGTACCAAATGAATTGTGGTTTTCCTAAAGCACAAGTAAGCACAAGAGCTTCGGTCAAAATGGACCGGCAGTCTATGGTCCATTTGGGGACTTCGGGGCGGTCGATTTCCCTATGTTGTCCCTACATTTCCCTGTTCAGCTGGTTTAAACTATGACTCTTGGACCGGCAGGTGGGTTTCGTTCTGGTGGGGTGATGTTTGAGGGGGGAAATACATGTGGTCATGGGTCAAAATCCAAATCGTACCCCGAGTGAACATCCCAATCCCCACTAAAATAGGTTCCAAAATGGGTGGTGAATTCACTTACCAACCAAAATGGGATCCCATTGATTTTGACAACCACAGCCATGGCGGCTATGGCCGGAGACGGAACTTTTGCCAGGTGCAGCTTCAAAAGCTCCAGCGGCTCTCTGTGCGCCTCACCGCGCAGGATCGGACCGAATATCTCGGTCAGGTCTTGGGCCTATGAGAGGAGGGACTGAATGTGCACTTGGTGGCTCCCAGCCATCCCCTTAGCCTTTTAGCCTTTTAGTGTTTGGTGGAAGTTTGATTTAACCCACTAAAAGTTAAACTTTTAGCGGGGGATCTGAGGGCAGACCAGTTCAGATCGAACAGCAGATGAAGGTGGGTTGATGAGTTTGAGCACGTCTCCTCCCACAAAGACCCCGCGGCCCAATCCGTTTAGGTCTGCTGTGGCTTTCTTTGAAAGCTGCAGCATGCAGCAAAAAGGGAACCTTTGACGTGAACCCTTGGGAGATGGGTACGCAAATCACCCCCAAGGGTTGCTTAATTTTGGGAGAACTTCCACGATTGGTCCTGACATTGCCACACGGACGTATGCCTTTGCCGTTTGAGTGGCGGACCGGTTGTTTGTGTGAACAGCCTGCGCTTGGCGTTCAAATTTACATCTATTACATCTAGGACCGCGTATTGCGTGTCTAAGGATACCCAAACCACAGCCCTGCACCAGCCAATTTTCACCTTTTGCCAGAGTTCTTGGAGAAACTGGTTGATTGAAGATGGGCACGGGCCATCTAGCAGCGATTGTCTTCAATCATTCCAAGGAGACGTTTCATCCATTTGAGCCACCAGGATACTTAAACTTATTTGATCCATTTGATCCAAAGAACAATCAGGTTGAATCCATTTGAGCCACAAGAAGACCTAAAACCCGTTTCAGCTAGAAGAGTATTTGTAATTCATAGTCATTCCCATGTCGCTTGGCCTGTACAGGATACGGACGGCGAGTCCCGGCTGGGTCCTCAGTTTCGTAGCAGTGATTTCGGTGGTCAGGGAGGGTTGTTGAAAATCAATCTGGTCGAGAAAGACCCCCGAATTGATGGGCTGGAAAGGGCTCACAAAGATCTTCCTCTACCTGCTGGGCCAAACGACGGACAAGACGGCACCCCTTCGGAAAGTGGGAGCTGAGCGTTTAGAAGGTCAGAGGGAGGTGAAGTCTCTTTTTGCGGGGGGCTGGGTTTCCCCTTCATTTGAGCTCGATGGTACAGTGCCCAGTGTTATTTTCTTTTCCCGGAGGTTATCCATTAAATCAACTGCCAGCAAAACGATAATTGTTGTGCGCGCACGCACCAGAGGATGTCAGGGCTTTGCAGCTGAGAGAGAGCTCCTTTTCCAAGCACGCAATCCACCAGCTCTGGTTTCAATCAAGTTCTAGCATGCTGCCAAGCTGGCGCGCTGCATGGCGCTTCACATCAACATGCAACGTAATTACTGTATCATGATGGTCTGAGAAAGGCAGCGGCGACTGGACGAGCTGCGTTGTTTTGGCAGCAGATTCCGGGAACCGAACTGAAGCATCCAACTGGTTTAAGGGATCAGGTTCATGCCCAAGTATTGCCCAAGAACTGGCGCAAGTGTTCCTATGGGAAGTCATGGGCTGGAGTTTTGGGGACTGCCCACTTGCCCCAGGCCAGACCCCAAAGAAATGCTCATTCACGCTTTATTGCCTTGCTTGCCCGTTTTTTGTGGCTGAATCTGGGGTATGGTTTGGGGTTGCCTGAAATATGGAGAACCCAAAAACCGCGTTGAACCACCCTGAAAAGGGTGCATCAAAAAGCGACACACCCACATGTTTGGGAAACCCCCGTTGCGGGCATGTAGGCCTTGAACTTCGCTGTGACGCATTCCGAGCCAACCAAACGCAGACCGACCGGGTCATCAGTTCCCACGCTATGGGCTACTACCCCCCAAGCACAGTTTGTGTGGGGATTCTCCCAACCCAAACAACTTTACGTCGGGCCTTTGCCAGTTTTGGTTGGCGTATCTTCCCTTATCTTCCATGTTAAGTTGTTTTTTGTTTTGACCTGAAGAGAAAAAGCTGAGCACCCGCCTGGTCCCTTTGAGCTCCGATGGCTTTCGTAAATCTTCGCGGTTTGCACAGATGCAGCTTGCCTGGCCAACCCTCAATCCGAGAACGGGAAGCCTGGCCAACTTGTTCTTGTTTCGGAAAGGTGTTTGAGAGGAGTTTAGGCTTTTGCCAGCCAATGCCCGGAGAGTCGGTTTGGTATACCCAAGCATGGCATTTTAGCTCATGGCAACAACAAATCCCACATCCTTTTTTGAGGGAAGCGTGATTGAAAATGCCCCACGACCCCATTCCAATGATTTTGGCCCTTGTACGATTTCCCATCCCTAACCTCCAAACCCCCAAACCACTAATTAGGCCTGATTTTTGGGCATTTCTGTTTTGATGAGTTTTATTGTTTTAGTCAGGGGAACCAAATAAAACACCTTTCTGTGTTTTTCAGAGGGTAGCTGATTCTTTCATTCCTTCTGCTGAGCTGTATGGCCCAGGTCGTCGCTTTGGACGATCCGCCTACCCTGGGCGGAGGCGGAGGCGGTGGTTTCTCCGTGCCGCGAAGAGGTACTGTGTTGAGGGTACCCCTTTTTCAGGTTAAAAGTAAACCTGAGGGAAACCCCAATTGGGAGAACCCAGATGCAAATCCTACCTCACCCTCCCCTCCTGAAGGCGACATCCTTTCGGAGAGCCGACATCCTTGCGGTGCGATCCTTTTACTTATGTCCCTTCAAAATCAGCCAAGCAATGTGGCATATTTTAGGAATCACGCATATTCTCGGCAAAATATAGCGACGCCTTTTTTTGGGGTTGGTGAATTGATACCCCAAAACCTTCCCTGGTAGTAGGGAGCGGAGATCGCTTTTGGTTGAGCCTTTGAGGAAACACCCGCTTCACGACATAACTCTTTGTCCTTTTGCTGCTACTGGGCTGGTCACAGGCAATCCTTCATCCTTACCTTGGCTTACAAAAAAAGGGGTCCTTTTTGTGGCATTCTGCAATTATTAGTTGTTTCCAATAGGGATTTGATTGGGATTGGCCGCATTTTGAACCGCCCAGTTTTATGACACCATTGTAATCCATGCAAAGGTAAAGGATTCCTCTAAAATAATTGCACCTTCAAAGGACTTCCCCATTTTCAATCGCAGCCCCGATGCTGTGTTGCTGTTCACTTGTTGGTAGCGTTTAGCTCTTAGCTTTGCCAGCTCTGCTCCTTGAAACAAACAACACGTGCACGGGCAGTCAATGTTGTAGTTTGGGCTAAATGTCAACTTTTGCCCATAACATTTGTTTGTCACAGCACTTGCTGGCCGAAATGAGTGGCCTGAGACAGGGTGAAATATCCCCCCCCTCCTGTGTCTTGTTCTTTAATCGTTGTTCCTTGTCGGTTCTGTTCATGTTTGGTGGGCGCCTTGCACCCGTGTCGCTTGTTTTGCCTGCTCTTGGATGGGAATGAGGGAATCCAAACTGAAGCGTCCTGGTTTCCTTTCAGTGTGTCCCTGAAGGGTTACTTCCTGCGAGAAGCATTTGGGGGAAAGGCCACGGGCCGCCCCGTCTGCGAACCCTTTCCGACAAAGTCTTTCCAAACAAATTTTCGAGATCGCTTTGGCACATCAAGACATGGTCGGACGAGGTTCCACACTCCCAGTGCGTCCAACACCGCCCCCCCCTCCCCCCTCCCCCCCACATGTTTGTCTCGTGTCCCAACCCGCAAGGCGTGTAAAGCTGCTGGAGCCTTTTTGAATGGGTCTCGCCAGAGTTCGAGCAAGCAACAAGCATATGATACTAACACGCAAACAAAAGCTAGGATTTGGAGAGATGAGTTGGAGAAATGGGACGGAAGAAACAGAACACATCCCGGCAATTTACTGAGAATCAGCAGTAAAAGAAGGAGGGGTCAATTGGTTTCCTGCCCACCAATGATTCTCATTCGACTAGTCATGTCCAGACAGACATGTTCAATCCACATCCCTTCTTTGAAGGTTTCTTTTGATTCCCTTACATTTATTATTCCGTATCCGCTGAGAACCAGCAAGGACCCCAAGCTTAAACACCATTTTCTTCTGGATTTGGAGTGAGTTACTTTGACTTGGAATTCGGAATGTTACTTGACGTGCTTATATAATTTGCTTGGACTGTCCCTTTAAACCCAACAAATGTAAACTTCATAGATGGGTTG